CGGTTCAGCGGTTGTTAAGGTTTCAGCGATAATATCTAACGAAAGTCAAACACATCATTTAATTCTTTGAAAGCTTTGATTTCTGAAATACAAGATCATGTTGCAATGCCAAAAAGAGTTTGCTTGTTCTGGCATCTCAGTGCAGCTCTGTGTTGGCCAGCAATGCGAGTAACAGACAGAAAATATCGGCATTTACTCTAAACTTATCTCATCTTACCCTTAATCCTGACATGTCAATAGTAATAGCCGGAATGCCTTCTTCATCTCCCTTGGGGGCAACTTGGTTCAGCAAATGGTAATAAGCTCTTGAGTCCTGTGACAGACAGAGAAATTAAAGGGAGGAAAAATTACATCTAAAGCTCAGGTTTTGCACGCCAGTGCTCTCCTGAACAATGTGCCTGCATGCTTCGTTTTTATTACATCAGTCATTGGGCTACATAATTAAATTAATTAAGCTGGAGGCACTTAGAAATTCCTACTTTATGCTGTATTTGCTGGATCTATTTCTTCCCTAAGCCAATATATACATGCTGCAGAACATTAAACGCACGAGACAAAATGCTGTGTGTTGCACTTATAGAAAGGACAGCAACAACAAAGAGATATTAGAATTGACTTAATCTGAACATTACATTAGAGATAAGAAAATGCATACCTTTATAATGCTGTAGAAGTCAGGCTGCTGAGCATTTAATAAAAGAAAATGCAGAAGGAGAAAGCAGATATTTAAAGCGGATTTCAAAGCAACACTAGAACAGTTATGGAAGAGAAAACATAGTTTTCAAGGACAAAAGTTAAAACCGACAACAGTATCAGCATTTTTCAGGCAAAAAGGCAGGAACAAGACAAGGATTTAACATGTTGTGGCTTTAATATTTTATGAAATGTAATGTTGCTTCCACGTGTGGAAAATATTAATCTCACTTCAGAAATAATTCAAAGAACTAAAAATAAAGCTACATGTTAGTGTCTAGAGACTTGACTAACTAACCCAACTAATACTCTTCAAAATATAAAGCAGATATTACCTGAATTGTTTTAAATCTTATACATCTGCATTACTATCCACCATATCTAGAAATGGTTATTTATAACAGAAGGGAGGTGGAGAGACACAGTTAGAGAATGGCTGTAAAGGCTGGCCTCTGAGGGGTAAACTTGCACCTTATTTTCCAACTGTAAATATGGTAAGTGCGATTTATCTTTCAATTGCAAATACGATTTAATCAGTTGCGTTATTGTTCTCTTGGCCAGCCTACAGAAAGACGGGAAAGACTCCATTTCCTTCCCTTTCCATGGATATCCTCCAGTCACCTCCACCCAGTGAACCAAAAATCTGTTACAATAAAAATTGTGTTGTCGAATGTGACTCTCAGACTCTCCTGTTGCCTTCTCTAGTGTTTTTTTTTATCCTGTATATCAAGTAAGTCATGGTAAATGACTTTTCATGCTTCAGTTCCTGGTGAAGCCTACAACCAGGCAGCTCTTAAGCGGGGCTTTTCCCATGCTATGCTGGGAGTGGGCAGGTTGGGTCATGGCTGGTGGGGTCGGTGTGCCGGCAAGACCCTGGCTTGCCTGGAATCCAGCTCAGACACCCTCCCTCATATATCCCCTACAGCACTGGGATGCTGGGTGAGCCTCACACCGTAGCTTTAGTGTCTGAAACTCATCAGTGTGTACCACTGAGGTTCAAATACATCTGTCTAGGAAGAATGAAGGTCCTACAGAGAAAGCTCTGCTGAAATCTGCATCCACAAGTCCATGAAGTCCCAAGTATGTGAAAGATTCTGCATAGACTAGAGATCCGTCCTTGCAAGTGCCTCCCCATCTAGCTATATTATTTTGAATAATCATCTCACTGATTTAAAACTTGCAGGTAAGTGCATGCAGGGTTATAGCAAAGGTTGGGAGGGAGAAGCACATAACCCAGGTGCTGTACTGAAGGAAAGATCAAGTAGGGGAATTGGAAGAGCCCCATCCTCTTCCCCTACACCTAGTTACGTGTCTGGGTAAGGTCCCAGGTCAAGAGGCATTTAAGGACATTTAAGAAAGAGGAGAGCCATAGAGGCAGGCAACTGAAAATACAGTGGTAGAGTCCGTATGCCCTGTCCAGAGCCAGCAGCCATTCCTTGCCCAGATGTTTGGTGTGCTGGGGCTGGCAGTGATGACTGGGAAGTCAGGAGGAGGAGGAATACTACTGAGAGGAAAGGTAAATTCCACTAAAATGATTTTATGTACCCTGCTCCATGTGTTCGGCAGAGCAGTCTCAGCTGCTTGGATTGTTTCAGTGCACAATCCCTGTTTGGAGGACAGGGATTTGGATGTGGACCTGCTGTTTTGCTGTTGTTGGCCAGTGTTTCTCATACCTTGATGTCTGAGCTGAAGTTGTTGACTTTGTTACATCCTGCATTCTCCAGGTGATAGTTTGCCCACCTCAGCAACAGTTCCTCTGGAGACAACTTCATCAGATCCTCCAGGCTCTCTCCCTCTCTCAGAAGAGCGATCAAGGCTAAGCAGGGAAAAAATGAAAAAATTAATGATGTTGTGAATACTTGTAGAGGAGAATGTATAACTATTTTCTCTCTTACACATTTTGCTACATTAGTTTCTAAAAGTGAGCAACCAAGATGTTGCCAAAATTCAAGCTGGTTTAGCATGACAGAGGACATCATAAACAAAAAAGGTTCTCAACAACAAAATGAGGACAAGGCTGTTAGTTGTGTATCTAGTAGTGGATCATACAGAAACAAGACAATTTCATTGTGGTCTGAGAACTAGCAGATTTCCTTGCCTCAGATCTTAGTGAAAACAGGATCATTGAATCATAGAATAGTTTGAGTTAGAAGGGACCTTTAAAAGTCATCTGGTCCAACCCCTCTGCAATAAGCAGTGACATCTTCAACTAGATCAGGTTGCTCAGAGCCCCATCCAACCTGACCTTGAATGTTTCCACGGATGGGGCACCTACCACCTCTCTGGGCAATCTGTTCCAGCATCTCACCACCCTCATTGTAAAAAATTTCTTCCTTATATCTGACCTATATTTACCCTTTTAGTTTAAAACCACTACCCCTTGTCTTATCACGACAGGCCCTGCTAAAAAGTCTGTCCCCATCTTTCTTATAAGCCCCTTTTAAGTATTGAAAGGCCACAATAAGGTCTCCCTGGAGCCTTCTCTTCTCCAGGCTGAACAACCCCAACTCTCTCAGCCTGTCTTCATAGGAGAGGTGCTCCAGCCCTCTGATCGTTTTTGTGGCCCTCCTCTGGACTGGCTCCAATAGCTCCATGTCTTTCCTGTGCTGAGGGCTCCAGAGCTGGATGCAGTGATGTTAAGCACAGGGACAAGATGGGAATGAAAAAATCAGCACAGACTTTCTGCAGCTTAGATGAAAGAAATCTCAGTGACTTTCACACTGAAACTGGATCCACAGAGGTATTCTGAAGAACTTGCATATGACTTTATGGGCTCATGGGCCAATAGGGTTAACTCATCTATCAGTTGGAGAAGATACCCTATTTATAGAAACATTAACATAGTAGTTGTGTTCATAAAAGGAGGAAGAGGCAGGAGGGAAGGATAGACTCTTGTAACTGCAGTATGTTCAGCGGATCTCGGGAGCACTAAAGGCTTTAGAACAAGTTTTGAAAAGAACAACTAATAACATGAAAAGTAGTTGTTATGTGATAAGAAGGGAGAGTGTGTCACACCACTCTGATCTCCTGATATCTTTTTAAGCCTTTTTTAAGATGAAGGAGGGTAGATTTAGATTAGATACTAGGAAAAAATTCTTCTGTATGAGGATGGTGAGACACTGGAATAGGTTGCTCAGAGAAGTTGTGGCTGCCCCCTCCCTGGAAGTGTTCAAGGCCAGGTTGGATGGGGCTTTGGGCAACCTGGTCTGGTGGAGGGTGTCCCTGCCCATGGCAGGGGGGTTGGAACTAGATGGTCTTTGATGTCCCTTCCAACTCAAACTATTCTGTGATTGTATGGTTGTATGATTCTGTGATTCTATGGTCTTTTGTCATTACTTGAAAGAAAATGGATTTGTTGCATAAAAGAAATTGTGGAGACCTACTGGATCTGGAGTTCCATAGATAATTTTATATAGGGTACTATGGGGTTAAACTGAACTAGAGGGTGATAATAGAAGCATTTGAAAGTAGACGGTGGATTTTATGAAGAGAACAATATTAACATTGAGAGAGTAGGCTGGAAGAAGGATTCTTGTGGAGTTGATAACAGATTGATTTTTGGATTAATGTTTTCCTTTTTTTTTTTTTCATCAATTAACTTGGCACAAATACTAGCAATGTGCTAAAAATTTGATGATTATATTCACTAGGTGGCATAGTCAATACAGAGGAAGTTCAGGATATCAGACAGAAAGAACTAGATGACTAATGAAAATGGAATGTAATTTAATAGTGCCATGTTCAAAGACATTCACTAGGGAATTGATATGAATAACTGCTATTAGCTAAAAGCTTATACAAACAAAATATGAGAACAACTTGAGTGTATTACATGTCTTCTGAGCTACTCTGATTCACCATGTGATATGACCAGGGGAAAACCAAACATGATATTAGTGTATCCCAGGTATTTCCCATAGAGATTGGGATGTATTACTGCTTTGATACCGTGTTCTCATGAGAGCTCATTGGAAATACAGTGTCCCATATTCAAGAAAGGGGAAATTCACCTGGAACAGCTGCGGAGAAGGGCTATCTGGGAAGGAAAGAACCTGAAAAGAAATCAAAATGATCTTGGCTTGTCTACCCTGACAAACTGAAGTCTCATATGAGAAGCGAAGGAGAAAATACCAGAAAGAGAAAAACAGCTATTAAGCAGGGTAAGGCTGCCTACAAAGGAATGGGAACTGCGAAGTCTGGAAACTGGTGGCTCTAGCTATGAAAGGGATAGAAATGTGCAAGGGGTGAAGCAATGAAGGTAACACCTGCATGGTAACTGGAGGAAAGAAGTGTCACTGTTGGTTGAATGGACTAACCAGAGGCACAGGGAACAAAGCAGCAAGATGAGATGCCATGTGGACTGCATGTACACACCCACAGCCTCACGCTGAAGATATTTCATGGAGAATTTTGGTACTGGTGAGACACGTCTGGAGTGCTGTGTCCAGTTTGGGGCTCCCCAGTACAAGAGAGACATTGACAAACTGCAGCAGGTTTAGTGGAGGGAGACCAAGATGGTTGGGCTGGGGTATGTGATACATGAGAACAGGATGAAAAAACTCAGTCTGTTTAGCCTGGAAAGAGGTCTGAGAGGGGAACAAGTATTGTCTTCAACAATTATAGAGGGGCCAGATCTGTATTTTCCCAGTATTCACAGCAAAAGGATGAGAAGTTACAGTCACAAGGTGCAGGAAGTGAAGTTCATACTAGATAGAGGAAAAAAAATCACAGAGGGGATTCCACAGGCTGTGGAACGGGCTGCCCAGAGAGCACTGGAAAAGGCCCTGAGTAACCTCATCTAACCTTGAAACTGGTACTGCTGTAAGTGGGTAGTTGGATAGCTGAACCAGAGGACCTCCAGGGTGGACCTCCAGAGGTCCTTCCAGCCTAAATTATTCTGTGAGTCTATAATTCTGATTTCACAAAGAAAGAGGAGATGTTTGGCAATCAAGAGCAAGAAAAGAGCAAAGCTTCCTGAATGCAGTGTAGCATTTCCTTATCCCAGATTTAGTGCCAAAACACCAATATACTTGGGTGTAGACCATCATTCCTGACCCAATGAGCATGAGATTGGCTCTGCACACAGAAACTTAAACACACCCTTGGACTTTGGAGTGCTGGAACTTGTGAAGAGCAAGGGAAATTAGAGCAGTCAAGAAGACAGGCAACAAATACTTGAAGAAAAAATTGAATTAAGATTTTTTTAAAAAAACAGCTTTATCCTAAAGACTGTTCAGTGATAATCATGGAGCACTGAAATGAAGACCTATACATACCTTCTTTTGCTGATTTCTATGTCAGCAAAGAGTCCAATTTTGATGACTTGCCATAAAAGACCCAAAACCAGGTAAGGTTTCCCTTCTTTTAAGTCTTCAGCTCCAATGTTAACAACGTGGCACCCAATGGCTGAAGCGGAG